TGCAAGCAACTAGAGCTGCCTCGGTAGTTGTTGTAGTGAACGTAGTCCAGACCGCAATACTGATCAAACATCTTTCGTCGTCAGCAACTCTACCACCATGTGTCGTACGTCCACATCGCTATCAGATATGTTGTAACTTGTAGTAGTCATCGGAACTTCCGATTCGGAAGCGGGCCAATCTTCTTGGACTTGTAGCCAGCACGTAGTAGCTCGGAAGTAGGTTGGCGACGACGTTAGAGGATCATAGACGTCAGCTTGATAATACTTCGAGGTTGAATGCCGTGACTCCAACTCGAAGGAAACGCAACTAGAACCAGTTACGAAAGGGGCTAGTCGAAACGCTTGATAGTCTAGAGATCTACTGTAACCAAGGAAGGCACAGTAGGCAAATCTCACGAGAATATCACGAATCACAAGTAATGACTCAAAATCTCTTCTAATCTTCGAATCAAAAGGAGACAACCGTTTCAGCCGTTTCAATATGGGAATGCAATAATTGCATGTAATCCGAGCGAAATCAGCAAACCACAGTTGGGCTGTTGAATAGTCGATCAAAAGGGGGTATCAATAGTACTAGTTCATCTATCAGCTGCTTACTGGCCATTGGTGGGCCTCTCTCGGACGGGACGTCCGACACACCATAGAACCTGGGATTTAGGATCCCACATTTAATCATACCATATACCTAGGATTTAAGATCCCGCACTTAATCATATCATATTCTCAATTTAATATCAATACTGGACTTAGTTGGTAACGTCGGCATCTTCGAGTTTACCGTCGTGCTCGACCTCGACATCATCCGGTGGGATTACACCATTCTTATCGTAGGAATCATACGGAGGTAGATCATCTTGAATCAAGAATTGATCAAGATTCTTGATCGTCTCGTTCATAATACTTACGTAGATTGAACCGTCCTTCGACATAAGGTAGAGGGGTACCATCTTCGCCCTGCAGATTGAAGGCTTCAATCTGCACAGTGTACCGTCTTGATTCTTTCGAGTGGTAATATAGGGGCCCTGCCAACCACTCTCTTGCTTGTGACTCCTCATCCGGAACCTAAGGACTTTGTCGTCTACATCAATAGTCGGGTCGGGGCCTCGTTGTTGGGTAGCTCGTTGCATCCTCTGTCGAACTCTATCATTTCGCTCCTTCCAGAGGTCGAAGTAGTCAGTCATGCTTTGGCATCGTCGCTCATAGATTTTTCCGCATAGCATTTGTAGATCAGACTCTAGAACATCTTGTTAATCGCGTCGTAGGCCGGGCAACCATTCATCAATAAGTTGTTGACCTAGTCTAGCATCCTCACCGGTGCAGGAACCAGCAAGATAACGAGGGTGTCGTCCATGATATAATTCGAAGGGGATTAGTCCTCAAGTCGGTCAATGGGAGACGGTTCACACTGGCCACAGCTTCACTATACATAGTTAAAAAGGTTATGGGCTCATCCTGCAGCTCAGCTCTCGCCAACCGACTCCTCACTTGTTGCAATATAGTCCCATGTACTCGTTCATGAAAGCCTCCTAGATGTTCATCATCTCGTGGTAGGTAGGTATAGGCAATAGTTTGGGACTTGAGATACATCTTAAAATCACTGGAAGTAAAGCAACTTCCCGGGTCCATGACAACGGCCTGAGGAATGCCATTTATAGCAATAATCTTGTGGACTGAGTCAATCACGGCACCAGTGCTCGGGTTGTCGAGGGCATCGAATAACACATGGAAGGATACTGGATCAGTCATAGTCAAGCCCCACTTTTTCTGTGGGACATCAGGATCATCGTCACACTCGAGGAAAGGACCTTGTAGATCTAGTACATAGCAACTGCCAACACCAAAGTGTAGTCCAGGAGGTCGAACAACTCCTCCTGCTCGATGAGTGCAGGCTCTTTCCCTTGTACGTTGACAGACGGGACAGGACTGTAGCAGGCGTCGTAATACTTGTCGCATCTTGAGGGTGAAATACCATTGTTGATAGATAGCAAGTAGTTCGGAAAGAAGTCTGAAGTTTGAAGGAAAAATGAAGGAAAAATATTTTTCGTTTGGCCTGCCAAGTTTGGTAGGCCAGAGTGTCACTGTCTTATTCGATCTGGCTGCTAGCAAATGATTTGCACTTACTAATCATGTTTCATAGCTTGATGAACGATAGTGTTGATCGGGTGCTTCAGTCGTCGCATCATTGGCAGCAACATACTAATGTCGGTGAAGTAAGTGATTAGTATGAACGCGCGTTTTTCGCTCGTATCGTGCAGAGTTGCCTCACAGTTTTTCTTTGTAACAAATATAGGATCTAATGGTCGGGACTTCACCCAATGACAAAGTCCTTGCGCATTCACAATGTCGAGGCTTAGTTCCCACCGCGCTTCTACTTCACATTCAGGGTTCGTCAACGCCGATGGGAAAACAGCGTCGGTCATGAACCTCTCAAGTTCACGATGCGTTCTCGCCTCGTCAACCCTTTCCCAATCGCAATGTTGCATCTCTTCATAGAACAAGTTCCTGTGTCGAGTCATATAGCTTGTGTATGCTCCCCGGTCATATCTCTTCCATGAAAAAAACGGCGGAGCGGAGTTATTTTTCACACTAGGTAGTGCCGACTCATCGTTTCGTTCAACTCGTAGCAGTTGATAAGCGTGTTGGGAAATATCTGTCCAGAGCCATAGAGCTGTCGTCGCGAAGGTCACCAGAATCGCTGACGACAGCTTGGGGAACATAAGTGAGGTAAAGAACACACACCGACAACTGCTGATGACGCTCATCGGCTTTCCGAGTTCAAAGTCCTGCCCAGGTTTCCTTGCACTGACTGCGATTATATCACGATTCGATTTTCAAGTTGGTATCAATACTGTTGTACAGAATCTGTACTACAGATACTATTGCTGCATCACATGAATCGAGGAGCACCGCCTGGGAATCTCGGAATATTCCACTCCCCCTAACCATCCTGGCCACCCGAGACCGATCAAGGGCTGACCAACCCCGAATGCCCAGCTGATCGCATGAAACAATCTCCGGAGTGTTCCAGACGTAGGCGAACCGGCTTCCTTGCTGACCAGTGAGATAGAATCTACTCAATCTCTCATAAAACAACTTCACCAACGATGAATTTCCAAGAACAGAGGTTTCCTGTCGCCACCCGACTCAATTTCCGACTTCAAAATTGATAACAGCCGAGCCAGTTCTTGCGCTTAGTGAATAGTGAACAGTCACCCCAACAGCGGCGGGACTATAGCTTGATAAACCGAGTTAGCTGGAGACTGACCAACACAACTTGAGCAATTCTTGAAAAACTAAGACAGGATCGATACTAGCAGACTTCTACACCCGACTGTTAGGCAAGGAGCTGGTCTCTCTGCTGGACCTCATCCTCCACCCTGTGATCATGAAAATGATCGCGATACCAACGAGATAGATTCCAAGTACGATGGGGCCTGTGACACTGTCACAGTCTGTGACAGTTGTGGTAGGAGGATCTGCCCACCCCTGTTGGCCAGTCTGTTAGCTGCACTGTATCGATTGTTCGCTATATGTAAATCGACTCCGTTCGGCCATTGTCAGCTACCTTTTTGTTGTCGTCCGCCTGTGCGGCCCTGCCTGTGCGGAATAGACAGTATAAGGCGAGCGCGAGAGCCTTATCCGTAGCTAATGTGTGCATGCGTCAAACGATCGATTGCATTCAGAGTCTTCCGAGAGATTCCTTGAGGAATACTGTTGGCACCCCTGCCAACCTTGTCGACCGCAGCTAAGTATTATCTTATACCCGTATCTACCCTTCGGATTGTGTTGCCAGAGTCACTAGCATCGACTACCTATAGTATCAATCGACGACCCGATCACGACTTCGAGTATATCCGCCCACATCTTTTCTGGTAGCAGCTCCTTGTTAACTCACTGTGACTTATTGGTACTGGTACGATGGTTAATGGTTCTGGTCCTGGTCCTGGTGTTGTCCCTGGCCCTGAGGGAGGTTCCTCGGGAAGCCTCAACCGTGAAGACGGTTTCGTAGACCCGGCCGCTGAAGGTGAGAGGGCGGCCCGGGAGTGTGCAGACAAGGGTGGCAACGACGATTTATGTGCTTGGGCCCGTAACATGGCTGAGGAGACCGCTCGCCGACATAACGAGACTATCAAGACTACCTGGCAAGCCGTTGGTTCCCACAAGGACTCCTCTTCGTCTGAGCCATGTGAGACGCCGATCCCCCCTGTGGACGCGTACGGCGGCCTGCCGACCGTGATGCAAGTTCCGGCCCCTATGCCGGAGAAGTATGATGGAACAGGGGACTTACGATTATGGTTTCGGCGTTACGAGAATTGCGGCCAGGCAGTAGGATG